GGCGGGGCGGCGCGGGCGTGCGGCCGGGAGGCGGTGGCGCCCCAGCCTGGACCCTTACGGAGCCCTGGCGAGATCCGGGACGCGCTGCGTCAGCGTCACCGGTCCCCTCTGCGATCCAGCTCTTTGGTTAGACCTTTCCTTCTCCTCCCTTCCCTTCTCTGACCCTTCCTCCTCCTCTTCCTCCTCTTCTCTCTGCTCCTCCTCCTTTCCCTCCCTCCCTCCCTTTTTTCTTTCCATTCTTTTCCTTTTTTCTTTCTTTCACATCTTTCATCTCTTCTTCATTGGCTGCTTTCCCTCAGCGTGGGAAAAAACAAACAAAATAACCCTAAACCAAAAACCAATCCCCTCCCCAAAAAAACCCTTCCTCACCTGCCTCCCCCTCCAACACAGCCACAGTAGTTAATTTAATCTAAGAGATCCCACACTTCCCAGGTACCCCCGACGCGGCTCCCACTCGTCTGCTGAGGGCTTGCAGGCCCCAGCTGCCTCCTGCCGGGATCAAGCCTGGGCCGCTGCCTTCCTGTCCGCCTCGCCAGACCTCCCCTCGTCCCTGGGCCCTGAGCAGTTCTCCCAGGACATCTCTGATTGCTGGGTCTCGGTCTCTTGTCCGCTTGTCTTTCTCCTCCTACTACCTGCAAAAATGGAAAACTCCTCAGAAGGAGGTGGATTTTTTTCCTCTAATGCCTCCACCGTGTACATTTTGAGTAATTCCGCCCATTCATCTAGAAGCTCGTGCAGTCAGGATTCTCAGGATGGCTCCCGGTCTCTGGCTCTAGAACTTTCTACTCATCTGTTTACAAACCTCCCTTGGCTGTGCCTGTTACAGGATCCCTGGGCATGGTACGTTCCACACACCTCCCGCGGAATGTGGCATCTTCCCCAGTCCAAGCTGGCTCCTCCTATAAACTTCCTGTGGTTCACGGCCCACCCTAAGTGCGAATTAGCTAAGAATGTCAGCATCATCCGTGACCCTCCCTTTCCTTGTCCCTCCTGTGGTCAGTCACCCAGCCTGGCATTTCATCTCCCTCTCTCAGTGCAGGTGTTTCCTCTGTATACGGCAGTCGCTGGTCTATGGCACTGGTCTACCGGGAGGGTCCCCAGCCCTTGTTTTCCACACCAAATGGTAAACCATAATATTTTTCTATAACTCATATAAAGCGTTTGTTTAAAAACCGTGCCTGGCTTTCCATACCATGGATCAAGTACAAATCTGCAAACCTGACACGAGGGGCATCCTGTCTCTCATAGGAAACCACACACTCCCACTCCTCTGGGTCCCGCACAAACCTTGCTCTTCCTGCTACATTCCTTGCACCTGCCAGTTCCACAGCCACAGCCACAACCCTAAAACTCACCTCCATCTGTCGCCACCTTCCAGAACTCCTGCCCAATCTTTTAGAACCAACTCACCACTTACCTTCTCCTGGGCTTCTACAGAGGACTCATTCTACTTACTGGGGGCTTCCTTAGCATTTCATCAGTTACCTTGTTACAGAGTACACCCCCAGCTGGAAACCGTTCATGCCTCTGTCTTACCTGGGGCGGGAGCTCCCAGTCAGGAATTATGGAACTTATTTTTAATTTTTTCTCCAAAATCATAGAAGGAAAGTTCAACATAAATGCTCTTTGAACAGATTCACTTTGGGATGTGCATACGGGGTGGGGAGTGGAGCAGTGAGTTGGCAGCCGTTCAAGGCCCCCAGGAGGAGAATGATGCTGCATACAGTCAGCCCTCCCCTGTCAGTGGTGCCACATCCACAAATTCAACAAATAGCAAATTGAGAATATTTGAGAAAAAATTCCAGTAAGTTCCAAAAAGCAAAACTTGAATTTACACTCTCTGGTAACTATGTACATAGCATTACATAGCATTGTGTTAGGTATTATAAGTAATCTAGTGATGATTTGAAGTGTACAAGAGGATGTGTATAGGTTATATGCAAATGGCACACCACTTTATAAAAGGGACTTGAGCATCCTCTGATTTGGGTATCCTCAGGGGTCCTGGAACCCATCCCCCATGGATACTGAAGGATGACCACTTGGAAGCAGAAGGCTTGGTTTTGTGGCTAACCCTGGTACTTTTTTCCGAGACCTGACGACAGTATTTAACTGTCCTGACCCTGTTCGTTCACCTGTAAAAGGAAAACTAGTTTAATGCCAACCCATTTTATTGGCTGGAAATAAAATCTTTTCACTGCTGTGAGCGGGGACACATCTGAGAGGTGCACTTGTGTGTGCGAGTGTGTGTCACTGCTCTGATGGAGATACTGGTAGGAAATCCTGTGCTACTGATCAGCACCTGGATGTTGGAAAGGAAAGGAGGTGAGGAAATGAGAAGAAAGAGGGAAGATGGAAGAAACCAGCAGTAGACATTTATAGTCAAGAGCAGTTAAAATGTAAAGATGAAGTTGATGTGGTATTTCAGTTCATTCCTTTGCCTGACCAGACTGGGCAACCACATGCATGCTCTCTCACACACACACACACACACACACACGCTCGCACTCACCAGCCTAAGCTTATGACTGCCTCACCCTGGGTCTCATAAAACGAAGAATGTTGCCCAGCATCCAGTTCTACAAGGAACAGATCAGATCGGTAGCCACTGCAGTCGCTGACCTACAGTGCACCCTGAAAGGAATTCAGGACAAGAAACAGGATAAGGCACTCTGTGTTTTGCAAAAACAAGCCCCTTAGAGAGTTAGAGATATCTCAGGAAAAATTTTTAACAAACCTGGATTCTCACATCCTCCTCTACGTAGGAAAGTCCTAAAATCCTTAACTGATGCCCGTGACTAGCAGTGACTTCTCCCTGAGATGTGTGCTTGAGTGCATGCACCCCCTCCCCCAAATCACACACGTACCAGCTTCTTCCCCTGCCTCTTTGGAACAGCTCCTCAGAGCTGAGAGGTGGTCTCCCGGCCTCTAGTCCTTAGTAAGACCCTGAATGCTGCTTAACTCACAACTCTCATGTTGCGCATTTTTTATTTCAGTCGATCATCCAAAGCGCTTATGCTGAAGTGAGATCAAATCCCAGTGTGTCGCTGTCCCTCATCTCTAGTTCACCTAATCCTCTCCTTAGGGGCCCAGTGCTATCAAGTCCGAATGTCCCTCCGGGCTCCTAGGGTTTTATTTCCTGAAATATCCTCATACGTAAGGGGAAGAAGTGTGGAGTGGGAAGCGTCCTGGGGGCAGGCAGGGCCCTGCTCTGGGGCGGGACCTGCCCGCGGCCGGGGCATCAGCCTTCAGGTCCAAGCCGTGCAGCTGAAGGCTCTGGAGAGGCTTCCCGAGGTGAGGACAGGCACGAACTTAATATTGTGTCCTCAGATCAGTGACCTGTGGAGTGCAGAGCGCAACTGCACAAACTATGCCCTGGGGTCTGGTCTTGACTGATGTTTTAATACTGTTTTGTTTTTTTTTCAAACTTTAAAGAAGCTGCCCTGGATTGGGCTCTTGTACTACATTTAACTTGTGAATGTCACACTATTTTTTTTTTCCCACCACACTTTGTTTTTCTCTTTTTAACCAGAGACATCTTCTCTTGGGAAAATCTCTTAGAAGGTAGCTTCAAGGGAACGGTTCAGCAGTGGGGAGGCTCTGGTTGGAACAGCTGTCCCCATGAGCCCCACCTTCCCCTTCTGACCCTCCAAAGCGTAATGAAATCCACTTTCCAGGCTGCTGCAGGTGGCTCTCCTAGTCCCCTGGGGAATCAGAAGAAGAAAGATCCCGGGATGGCCCATCTTTATAAAAATGAACACAGGCAAGATGACCCTTATCTCTAGCTGAAGTTTCCAGTACTTTAGGTTTTGCTTACTTGCTAATGTTCCAAACTGAAATGTATTTTTCTTGTGTAGCTTTACAATTTTTGAGTTACAAATATACATACAAATTTTTAAAAAAGGCTAACATAATAGATAAAATAGCTTAGAGGGTCATGGGATTATGAGTGATAATTTGTCCTTTTATTTTCCAAAATGTCTTCAACTGTTAACAGCAAAGAGACTCAGGGAAACTAAGATGATGAACTCTAATAGCTTTGTAAGGAATAACCTAGATTTCTAGACAGTTTAATAGGAATAAGCAATTAATGCAGGACTTGTAAGATTTTTTCTAAAAATTCTAGTAATTCATAAGCTGCAATGACTTTTAACAATTTGGAGCAAAGTGCCTGCTGAGGTTTTGCCCCTGCCTCCATGGGGCTGTCTTCCTTGATAATTACATTTTAAAGGGATGGCCTCTAAGGACTTGAGAAAGACTGCTCTGGGTTGTAAAACAGAAGAGAGACTTCCCAAAATGTTTACCACTCAAAGGAGCAGAACAAGAATTTGCAGTGACAAGCTGTCTATAGCAATGCTCTGAGGAAAGGGAAGTCCGGACCCAAGGGAAGGAAGAATCTTAGGGGGAGGTCGAGCCTGGCTCGGTCAGGCTGGAGCCAAAACAGTGCCTTTGACTCAGAGTGTCTACCAGATGACTTGAGGTTTGGGCTTCATATTTTTTCTCGCTGCCGGTGGGCTCCATTCCGAGCTCCCAGCTCAGTTTCCGCAGCTCTGATGGAAGTATACTTTGCAGAGTCCTCCCGATTCAAAGGAAATTGTGTCTTCCCAGGAGTCCGCTTTTTTGGGCAGATCATCCCCAACAAATGTTCCAGATCTTTTGAAAGCCATCCAGCTGTTTTCCATGTGACATAATGACAGAAATGTCATTTTTATTTACAGAAAGTTATTTCTAATGCATAGAATACTGCTTCTAAATTATACTAGAGACATTAAACTGAGGGGAACTACCCCGAATAGGGGGACTTTGTGTAACAATGAAGACTTCAGGCTCACGAATAAAACAGCAGATTCTGATCCTGGCTTCCTCGATGACTGTCTGTCAGGAGCTCTGGAAGAACTTCCCTGGGTCTCCTGGTCTCTGGGGTAGGAACTGCACTGCCTGTGCATGTTCTTGGGATTAAATGAGATGGTACGGGTGAAGCTGAGAACAGCGCCTGGCACCTTGCTGGCCTCTCCTACCCTAAGGGAGGGAGTCTGAAGGTCTCAGAGGGTCTTTGAGCCCCTGCAGCCATCCTGTTGCTAAGAGTGGTACCAGTCATGAGCCCTGGGATTGGATACTTTGTGAATAAACCGGTGTATGAGTTTCCTGTTGATGCTGCCACACCTTACCACAAATTTAGTGCCTTAAAACAAACAAAATGTATCTTACAGTCCTGGAGGTCAGGAGTACCTGAGTGGTTGACAGAGTTACATTTTTCCCCTGTTGCAGCTCTGGGAGGCTGCCTGCATTCCTTGGCCTGGGGCCCCCCATCATTATGACTTTTGCTTCCACCATCACATCTCCTTCTCTGGCTCTGGCCCTCCTGCCTTCCTCTTTTAAGGACTCTGTGATTACACTGAGCCCATCTGGAGGATCCAGGAGACTCTCCATCTCAAGATCCTTAATCCAATCACATCTGCAAAGTTCCTACTGTCAAGTAAGAGGATGTGGCCACAGGTTTGGGGGATTCGACATAGATGTCTTTGAGGCGCAGTTATTCTGCTGACCCCACGCAGTGTCCACAGACAGGGGTGCTAATGAGCAGGGGACGAACGGAGGCCTGGCTGACCTGTTCCTGTGTTGTGCTTTTGATGCAGACCTTCGCCGATGGAGGATCTCTGTGAAGCAAATGGCACTTTTGCCATCAGCTTATTGAAGATGCTGGCTGAAGAGGACAACTCACGAAATGTGTTCTTCTCTCCCCTGAGCCTCTCCTCCGCCCTGGCCATGGTCTTCATGGGGGCCAAAGGAAACACGGCGGCCCAAATGTCCCAGGTATGCCTGCCCGTCCCAAAGGAGGACCAAGGGCATGCTTCCTTCTGGTCTTTCCGTACCTTCCTCCAGCTGATGAAAGCCAGGGAGGCTGGTAGGTGGGAGGGGGCAGCAAGGTGCCAGAGAAAGCAGACATGGGTAGAAAGGTGAATTGTGTAAGACGGAATCTCCCCTTAGTGTTTATGGGGGAATTTATCAAGTCGTTACGTTATTTTCTGTACATAAAACATCACTACGTTATAGCAAAATTGCATCTTTGATAAGTAAGGTGAACTATATAATTCAGTATAATTTTGTTCCACAAAAAGGCCAAGAATTTCAACTGTGTTGTATTTTAAACTTTTGCTAACATTACATTGCAAATTGAAATGCAGCTGTGTAAACGAACTTTTTGTTAAATGGATTGTTTATAGCAGATGATTACGCATAGCGGAAGAGGAATGCCACACACACGGGGAATTGTATCTTCTGGGTTATTTAGAGGATGCGTATAACCTGATTGAACCGAAGTGGGTTATGAGTGGCCTTAGCTACGGATGAAGAAGTTGGATAACACTTCAGGGGAGTCATCCTTCCTCTCTTAGTGACTTAGTTTCATTGACATTCTGGTGAAACTGTCCCAGAAAATCGCCGCTAACATCAGGCGCACGGATGCTCCCCGGGAGCGCGACCGCGGCCACTGTTGAATCCTCCGCGATTGCTTCTCCCCGTTCACCGGAGGAGGGAGGCCTTGGACTGGAGAACTGTGGAATTGCACATGAAATATTTTTCTGTTTGTTTCGGCTCCTTATTGTATCCCGCGGGTCATTCCAGCTACTTTTGTCCTGTCCTGTCTCCTTCCTGAGTTGCCGCTCACTGCCTTCCTGGAGCAGTGCTTTCCACCTGGGGGCGGTGTTGCCCCCCAGGGCAATTTGGACGAAGCCTGGACAGTGCAGGTTGTCATAACCGAGAGGTGCTCCTGACATCCAGTGGGCAGAGGCCAGAAGTGCAGCTAAATATCCTATGATGCCTAGCAACAGTTTCTCGGCCCCAGAAGCCCACAGTGCCGAAGTGGAGAAGTCCTGTACCAGATGGTTAGGCCCAACTCCTTTTACGATAGGATCCTCTGTGATTTTCAGCGCGGGAATTTGTTTGCAATTTCTTCCGGGAGTAAAATGTCAATGTTAAAAGGCGGCGTTCTTGTCTCCTCTTACCAGGCACTTTGTTTGAACTACGGTGGAGACGTTCACCAAGGTTTCCAGTCACTTCTCACTGAAGTTAACAAATCTGGCGCCCAGTGCTTGCTTAAAACTGCCAACAGACTCTTTGGGGAAAAGACGTGTGATTTCCTGCCGGTAAGCAGTGCTCACCTGCTGATGACAAAGAAATTGCAAATAAAAACCACAGATGAGCAGAGATATAAAGTGTAGCTCTACTGCCTTAAAAATGTGCTTAGAATTACACTTCTGGGATGATAATTTTGAATTTTATGAATGCTTCTGAATTATGTCCTTTTTAAAAGTAATTGTTTTGGATACATCCTGTGGATGTCAATCTCCATTTGTCCATCCGCCTGCATCCAGACCTGCCTCTTCCTCTTGATCCCCACCTCAGTGACCTCATTCTCCCCAGGCTCGCCTCTGAGTGTTGGGCTGTTCCTGTGTAGCTGGCCTCTCAAGGTCTCTTAAATTTGTCCTCTCTTCTGAATCACCACCGCCACTGCCTGGATCCAGACTCACATCTGTTTTAATTGTTGCCTAACTGAACTCTTCAAGTCCAGCCTGGTCCTTCCACACTACTGAAAGTATAGTCTTTCTAAAGTTAAAATCTGTCAATTAAAATGTGGTTTTGATTCTGAGTTGTTCCTCTTGACTGCAGCATATAATTTCAAAGTTCCCTAGTCCAGTTAAAAAAAAAAAGCCTGTCATTATTCAATATGTGAGTCCTAAAAATTATGCCACGCAATATGCAAAGTGATGCTACCTTGAGATTAATGAAATGATCAGGGCAGGTGTGGCCATTTTATGCGCTGGCAGATTCCAAGGATTATTCTGTAAAACTCAAATACAGCCCTGTCCTGGCTGCTACCCAGGTGCTACCCCATGCAGGTTGCCTGCTCTGGGCTTAAATATCATTGGAGTTGATTCTGGATCCTTCAGCTGGCTAGAACTTCTAGGATAAGCACTTGTGATTCCACGAATCTCCTGGTTAATCAGATGTTCATTTTTGCCTATCAGCCTGCTCCCTGAATACTGTAATTTGGGGAACATTGAAGACCCCAGGAACCAGGCTCTACTCTTCTTGGTTGCTTGGGTCTTCTCTCTACATCTTCTTTCTTCTGTAGAAGCTAAAATATTTGAGAACAAGAGATGGGCGGAGGATGGGAGCCAATTGCCAGGCACATTATATCAGAAAACGAGTTTTCCTGAGGTGAGTTATCTGTGGGTTTTAATGTATTGCATACAAGGACCTTCCTGATTTAACCCCAGCTTACATTTCAAGGCTCATCTTTTGCCACTGTTTTCCCTAATCTCCACCCCCACCCCGAGCACCTGTAAGATTTCTTGATCATCTAGTTCAACCATGGAGTCTCTCAGTCATTCTTCAAATATGTTTCAGACATTGTGATTGGTGCTGGTGATACAGAAATGAGTAAAAGAGAGTTAAATTGCCTGGTAGGGGAGATAGAAAATCAAACACAAAGTCAATATGGAGCTGAAGTGTTCGACAGGGACGTTCACGGGACCATCCATATTCTCCAAACATCATGGAACTCTCTGTGTCTATATGTTTCTCCCTCAGCAGATTGTGAGCCACCTCAAGTCCAATGTCATATCTTCACCCTGGTGTCCAGCGCCTCGCACAGTGCTGGGCGCAAAATCAGCCGTCTACGTATTTTGGCTAATTGCATAAATGTCTTAAAGTGCAGGGCGACTTGTGCAAACATTTGTGCTAGAAACATGTTAAGAGAAAAGAATGTTTTCACAGTTTTAGAAAACACTGCCAAATAGAATATGGCCAAACTCAGTATTTTGCCTCTGTAGGCTTTTAAGGACTCCTGCCAGAAGTTCTACCAGGCGGACCTGGAGGAGCTGTCCTTTTCGCAAGACACCGAGGGATGCAGGAGACACATCAATGACTGGGTGACAGCAGAAACAGAAGGTGAGAGATCTCGTCTCTGCAGACTTTGCGTAATGAAGGAAAGAGAGCTGGGACTGGCTGGGAGGTGACCTCCACGGTGTTGCCCTGTGACCCTGTAACCAGTGACTGTTTCTGTGTGTTTGCTGGGCTTCCAGGCCAGCAGTGTGACTCTGATATTTTTATTGGGCTATGAAGTGGCGATTTCTAAAAAAAACACAATACACCTAGTTTTCGTCTCTTAGATGCCGTCCCTCCTGGACTGTGCTGGAAAATCCTTGGAAGCTGTTTCCTCTTTGGTGCCGTTTCACTCCTTCCATCACGGAGGGCAGAGTGACACTGAGTTCAGGTCACAGCTGAGCAGGGGAGCACCTCCTGTCATCTCCTGGGGGCACCAGGAGCTCTAGCCGTCCACAGTCCCTCCTTCCCTCTCAGCATGGCTGGAGTTCAGCTTGCTTTCCCAGAGTGTCACCTCTTCTGAATTTGCTGCAGATTCTGGAGGTGCGGCTGGCACGGAGCGTGCAGGGTTCCCCCATCCAGACGCACGAGAAATATTTCTGCCGGTCCTTGACTAGAGAGCAGAGAAAAAGGACATGTCTTTCAGAACCGTAAATGCCCAGCACGTCGTTTAGAGACTTCCAGCGGGTGGGGAGGCTTCTTCACGTGTATTCCAGCGTTCAGTTCTGTGTGTCGGGCAGCGACAATGTTGATGAACACGCTGGAAGCCGATGAAGTAACGCCCATCAAAGGGAAGGGCCTCTCACATCCTCGTCTTCATACGTCAGGTCACATGCGCCGGGGTCTCCGCTCTCCAGGTGACCCAGCAGCACCGTCAGCCAGGCTCTTCACCTCCCTCCTGACCACTCACTTCCCCTCCACGGTGGTGGCTCGCACCCTTCCCTCTGTAGGGCTGACCACCCACGTGCTTTCCCAGAATGGGAGATTCTGAGGCTGGAGGGGACGTCGGGGATCCCCTGTCCCCGCTCTCATGGGACAACTCAATGGGGGCCCCTCCACGGCAGCCCCCCAGTTCTGCTGCCCCACTCCCTCCCTTCAGGAAGCCGCCTTCTCCCACTTCCAGGTCTGTATCCCCATCTTTCGGAAGCCTCTCCTGGCCTCAGTGAGACCTCAAGGTTGGCACAGAGCAACGACTCTCAACCAGAATCAGCCTCCAGGAGCCGTCAGGCAGTGGCTGAAGACATTTTTGGTTGTCACAGTTGGGGACGTGCTACTGTCTGAACACCCTACAGTGCACAGGGCAGTCCCCACAATGAAGAATCACTTGGCCTCAAATGCCAGAAGTGGCGGGGCTGAGAAATGATGGTGCCAAGGTCGAGAAGCTTACAGTCAGAATCAAGACTCTTGGGTCATTTTCTCAGCACAGCCACCTGCCACCTCTGTGACCTTGGCAAAGCAGTCAGGCACATACTCTGAAGCTGAAATTCTATGATTGTGAATTGAGGGCAAAACGAGAGTCGACCTGCCTGCTTCAAGAGTGTGGTTTAAGGACAAACACCACACTGTGGGTGTGTGCACAGCACGGAACACCGTCACCCTGATTCGTCAGGCGGCCAGGAAGACAGGAGTCCCGCCTGGCTCTCAACCAAGCCTTCGCGTTATATGTCAAGAGGACTTTTGTAAAAGAATGTTTATCCTCCCCCAACCCCCAATAGCAATAACTTTCTCTCATACTCTTTACAGGGAAGATTTCAGAGATACTGGGTGCTGGGACGGTCGATCCACTGACCAAGCTGGTCCTCGTGAATGCAGTCTATTTCAAAGGAAAGTGGAATGAGCAGTTTGACAGGAAGTTCACAAGGGGGATGCTCTTTAAAGCCAACCAGGTAGGGGGCTATTTTGCAGATATGCTGCGACTTTCTTAAAGTAATACGTTGGGAAAGATTGTGAATGAATGGAAAAAATAAGTAACGTATTTCACATCAACTTGATTCTTGATTTACTCCTAAATGAATTTCATGCCCCCTACATATCTTTTATTGGAGTGGGAAAGAGACGAAAATAATTGTTATCTTGATGGTTTTGTTTTTGCATTCTTGGTCAAATCGATCTTCTCTCTTTGGTCACGTTATCTGGATTGAAAGAAAATTCCTTCTAAGCCTTGGAATTAAATTTCTATGATATGATCACTGTCTGCATTTAGACACTTTCTTGCAAAGTCAATGACAACTGTGACTGTTTTTTGTCTTTGAATACATGGCTGTATGATTCCAAACAAGAAAAATAGTGTTAGCAGGTGTTCAAGCCACCTTTGTTTTTATTCATTTTTGGATCTTTTTAAAAAATAAAAATCGTACACATTGAAGGTGTAAATGATGATGATTTGCTGTACATGTGCGGAGTGAAGTGATTCATGTGTCTAATTAATTGATGGTAATTAACATATCTTTTCCTCAAGTGTTACCTTTTTTTTGGTGATGGCAGCGCCTGAAATCTACTCTTCTAGCAAATTTCCAGTATTCAATACCATATTATTAACTATAGTCATGATGCTGTGTATTTGAGCTCTAGACTTACACACCTAACTTTGAAAACACTTTTCTCCATTCACTTTTAAATATTATAATGACTGGGGTCAATAGGTATTACCTTTGAATTTGACCTCCATCCACTTGATAATAGCATGTTGCACAAAAATTCAGAAGTCTAGAATATATTTGAAGCAAGCTTTAAGAATGATGGACCCCAGACATCTTGTCAACTCACCGTTCCAGGAAAACCAAAGCCATAAAGCCAATCACACAGCGGAGCAGCTTTTCAGAATAGAAGTATTGCTCCCTCTGGCCTATCCACCTTTTCTAACCTGGTCTTTCAGCCCAAAGGCCTGAATATTCGTTAATTTTCCTCTTAACTTGAAAACATATTTTTTTGGTTAAAATGTCCCTGGGACTGCTTCTCTGTGCATCTTCTCAAAAGAGAAAAAAAACACCATTTCTTCCAAAAATGATAGAGTTTTGTGTCTCCCTCTATTCATCAGTTTATTCTCTGCCACCTGGTAATGCTTGATCTGCTGGGACAGCAGAATGTCATACTCAGCACTGACGTGTAATAATGAAGATTTTACATCTGTCGGCGTGAATGCACACACACAGCCCTTCTCTTATATGTACCCGGGGGTTCTGCAAGTCAGGCACACGGTGCTCACTTGCCAGTCACCTCATTTTAATTTCATCTCCTTATTAGGAGAAGACAACGGTCCAGATGATGTTTAAGCAGGCGAAGTTTACCATGGGGTACGTAGAGGAGGTGCACACGCAGGTCCTGGAGCTGCCCTACGCGGGGGAGGAGCTGAGCCTGGTCATCTTGCTGCCTGACGATGGCACCGACCTCGCCGTGGTAAGCCCTTGGTGTTGAGCCGGAGTCTGTGTGGATCCCGCCTGAGCCCATTCTCTTAAGTCCATCCACCAGAGAGCAAGTGAGGACCTTCCACTCAGGGTTATCACAAGGAGTGCGAAATGGACACCAGCGCGTGCTTCTTGGTGACTGTGTGTCCGCATTTCTGTTGCGTACATATCTAGGAGCAGAATTACTGGTAAAGACACATTTTTGATGAAGCTTAGAGGAGAGAGTTCCAAAAATATAAGGAAGAGTGTTATTATTTATCCTCAAGGGAGGGGCTAGTTGAGAGCCCAGGAATTACCGAACAAAAGTGCAGGAAAGGACAGGGGTCGATCTGGGAGGTGGTCCTCAAACGTTCATGCGCATATTAACCTAATGGGACCTTGTTAAAACGCAGATTCTGACGGGGGTGGGGATGGCCTGAGAGCCTGCATTTCTAGCAAGATTCCAGCTGGCACAGGTGCTGCGGGTCATAGGCCCACCTGGAGCAGCGAGAGTCTGAAGTGCAGGCGAGGAGCTGACCTTAGACGGGGGAGGAGGACATTTTCCCACAACAGAAAACACGGGTTCAGGACAGGAGCAAGCACATCTGTAGGGTGGGGGCGCACTGGTTATCTGGCTCTCTGAGCTGCGGGGGACGCAGTCATTTATGTTTGCCGAGTCCTGTGGTGTGAGTGCCCCACCATGGCTGAGTTCAGGTGACCACGGGTTTACCAGCTGAGTCTTGCCGGAGGTCCAGGCGCCAGCTCACCGGTGCACAAGGGCACGCCACCGTGAGGGTGGGGCCTGCCTGATGGCCCTGGTGTCTCTAGGGAATCAGAAAGCTGTTGGCATAAGTCAAGGATGGGCTCTGTCTTGTGGTGACTTGAGGAAATGAAGAGAGTCTGGGACTAGAGATGACGCCCTAACAGCCGTCAGAGGAGAGGAGCCCTCACCTGGACTCCACGTGGTAGATGGAAAGGGGAGATGCAAGCGGAAGACCCTGCTTCCTCCTTCGTTTCTTCTCTGTGGGTAAACAGAAGGAGTGAGGGGTCCTGGAGGTTTCGGAGCTCACCCCAGGGCAGGCAGAGGGCAAACAAGGATGCCAGAAGCAACAGTCCTGTTGAAGTCCCCATTTCTGCTCTCCCCTCCCCAAAGCCACATCTCCCTCCTTGCTCAGGTGATCCCTGATTCCCTCTCTTTCATCCATCAAAGTTCTGAGCCTCTCTTGGCCTCTCTTTTGTCAAGCAGTCTCTCCAACTCAGGGTGACGTGTATCGCATGGATTATAATCCATTGGTTTTGCGACTTTCTAAACTAAAACGCATTTGAAGTGAATTTGGTGCAGATAGGTAAACATAAAACCCCACCCTTAGCTCAGATGTTTTCTAGCTGTTTCACTTGTGTATCCATAAAATGGGGAAAGGTAAGAACTGCAGGGAAAATCTTGGTGTGTCTTCAAGAGGAGGTGTCCCGTAGATTATCTCGAACCAGAACTCAGCATCTAGCTGCGTGTCATGTGGGAGGAGTTAATGAGTGGGTGGGGACCAGGCTGTTGTCATCTGGCTTCTAAGATTGAACTCTTCATTCTTTCAGGTGGAAAAAGCACTCACATATGAGAAGTTCAGAGCCTGGACAAATCCGGAAAAGATGACCAAGGATAAAGTTCAAGTTTTTCTTCCCAGATTAAAGCTGGAGGAGAGTTACAACTTGGAGTCTTTGCTTCGAAGTTTAGGAATGACGGATGCTTTTGAGGAAACGAAGGCAGACTTTTCCGGAATGTCAGCTAAGAAGAACGTGCCCGTGTCCAAGGTGGCCCACAAGTGCTTTGTAGAGGTCAATGAGGAGGGCACGGAGGCAGCCGCGGCCACTGCCGTGGTCAGGAACGCCCGGAGCATCAGAACGGAACCAAGGTTTTGTGCAGACCACCCTTTCCTCTTCTTCATCCGGCACCACGACACCGACAGCATTCTGTTCTGCGGCAGGTTCTCCTCTCCATGAAGAGGTGCGGTGGCTGTGCGTGCTTCACCTCTGCCCGCCCTTCCGCCTTCGTTCACGTTCCCGGTGACCGCCGTGGTGTGGTGGTTTGAATGCCAAAATAAAGGGGGCGCACTGGGACGTCTGTGAGTGTCTTTACTCAGTATTGCACAGCCCTTGGGACTGACCGGGCTTCACTTGTACAAAGGTGGGGAGCTGCTTCCTGCCTTTCAGGGACCCTGCCCGCACCTCCTACCGGAGGACCACCAGCTCCACTCACGGTCTGTGCCCGCTTTTTAGGGCATCTTTAGGAGCATGCTGGGGCTTCACAAACCAGACCTCTGTGTGTGCTTCTGTCCTAAAAAGACAGTTATTTCTTCCTTTAATGTTTGATGGAACTCATCAGTGAAGCCATCCAAGGTTGGCATTTTCACTGTGGAAAGGTTTTAAATTACAACACAAGGCTATCCAAATTATCCTTTTTTTTTTTTTTGTAGTGAGCTTTGGTAGTTTGTCTCTTTCAAGAAATTTCTCCATCTTGTCTGGTCATCAACATTAGCAGCATAACAGAACTGTTAACATTTCCTTGCTTTTCTTTTAATATCTAAAAAATCTGTAGTGATGTATCTCTTATAATCCTGGTAATGGTGATGTGTCTTCTCCTTTTCCTGACCAGTCTAGCTGGAGGTTTTTCAATTTTATTGATCTTTCTTAAAGAATCAGGTTTGGTTTTATTGATTTTATCTTTTGTTTCCCCCTAAGTACTGATTAGTGGCACCCCCAAATTTTGATGTTTTCTTTCATTCTTCATCAACTCAAAGTGCATTACAATTATGGCCCCCAGGACTGAATGTATTGTTGGTGTAGGGGCATTGTTTTTATGCGCCTCCACTGGCAGGAATTGTGACGGTCAGGACCACCTTAGTGGGGCATGGGGAAGGCTGAACCCCCCCGACTACTGGCACCTGAACCATTGTCTCCTCCAAACAACATCAGCTGCCTGGGGGAGAAAAAGAAATAACCACCCTCATTGTTGAGTCTGGGGGAGCCAACGTTCTCTTTGAGTCTATTTCTCCATCCAAGAGCCCCGTGTGGCCTGTCTGGGGAACCTGAAGACTCAGCATTTATCATAGGTGGCTTAGTGCCACCGTGTTGCTCTTGCCAATGGTGGCACCTGACATTTTGACTCTTCCAGAGGCTACTGAAGGGAACGTGGTCTGTAGTAACTGACATTGTAAATGCCTTTTTCAGCAGCCCTCTCCACTGTGATGATCAGGATAACAACTTGCCTTCATGTGGAACGGATTGTGACATACTTTCAAATACCTTTCTATAAAGCTAACTAAATTCTTTGGCTATCTGCCATTAATGAGTAGGTCAGGATCTGTAACAAGTCCCAGGCCTGGAGGAAGCACGAGCCTCGCACTGTGTTGATGACATCCTCCTGCAAGCACCAGCCTTGTGCTATATTAACGACATCCTCCTGCAGGGCCCAGACAAGGGCACTGCCCAGCAAGGACCAGGCACCGTGATGACTCACCAGCAGCAAGACGGCTATGCCGTTGACACAGACAAGGTGCCCAAGTGAAATTCCTGGTGCCAGTCTGGAAAGGGGGCATGATGTCTCATTCTAGAGATGACTGCCAAGCTTTGGGCCCTCTCTGCTCCAAGGAACAAAAAAGGGGGCCCAGTGAGTGGTGGGCTACTCAGCTCCTGTTGCTCTCACGTTCCGCATGCGGGGGTCTTGATGGCACCCATCTACTGGGTGACTAGAAAAGGTCGCTATCTTTGAGTAGGGCCCCAACTACAGGAGGCCCTGGAAGCCCTTGGTGGGCCACCAGACCACCCGTCCTTGGGGCCCACAGGTGTCTGAGCAACCACTAGTTTCCCTGGCTGGAGCCTGGGCAGAAGGACACCACTACACTCAGAAGCACCCACTGGGCTTGTGGACCCATGGACTCCTGGAGTCAGTGGAAATGTATACACTTTTTGAGAGAAAATTGCTCGTCTGTTATTAAGCACTGGTAGATTGCATGAGCACATGAGCTTACGACCAAGAAAGTCCTATGATCCCAAACCCCGATCACGTTCTGATCGAGCAGATGGTTTAAATCCCTGGGCAGGGGGTGGCTCAGGAGCCCTCTCTAGTGAAGTGGAAGTGTTAGATACAGCAGCAGGTGGAAGCTGGCCCAGGTAAGTTCTCAAAACTATATGGCGAGGTCTTAGGAGTGCCCCTCTGCCTCCCAGGCACACGGCCCAAGGAGCGAACAGAAAGGTGATTATGATATTAGGACCCACCTCATAGAGTGGTTGAGAGGATTTAATGGGTAGGTAAAGAGGTTAGTGCGATACCTGCTCCAGTAGCACACAGCATGTAATCGGTAACCATCATTACTGGACAAGGGCAAACTGCATTTTTATGCATCTAAAAAGCACTAGTTAGAAAATGTAATTAATTTTGCACTAAAAATATAATGTTCTTAGGAATGATAATTAACAAAACATAAGCAAGACTGTTAGGTTGAAAATTACAAAGTGCTTCTGCCAGCCATTAGAGAGGACCAAAACACATGGAGACATTTCACATCACAGCTAGACCTTGAGTTAAACGATTGTCAGTCTTCCCTTACTTGTCGTAAAGATGCAATGTCATTCTGATGCAAATTCCAGCAATGTTTCTATGGGACTTGACAAGTCTATTTAAAAATTTATATGAATAAGCAAAAGGTGAAAAATCTATAGCACATGTCTAAAGAAAAAGACCAGGCTGCAGAGCTCTGTCCCACTAGGTACGGGAGCTTATTATAAAGCTCTGTAACAGAGCATGATGCACACACAGGGGCCGACACACAGATCAACAGCACAGAATAGAGAGCCCAGAAGCATACCTATTCATATATGGACACAGGACAAGACTAGAGGTCAGCAGGGAAATGGCAGCCCGATACAGTGTGCTGAGATAACTTCGTAATATAAAATAGGAAAATAATCACTGAGAGATTTAATACTTAATATGAAAAGGACATTTTATATGTTTTACAAGAAAATATAGCAGAATATTTTATGAATTCAGGGAAGGGAAAAATTTCCTAAACAATCTATAACAAGCAAAACAAAAAAGGCAAACTGCACAAAAGCAAGCACTTTGAAATACAGGTACTTAATAAACTATGTTTACGACCCAACGGAAAAATTGACAAAGACTTGAAACGGATACTTCACAAAAAAGAAAACAGGAAAGATCAATGGATACATGGAAAGATGCTCACTATCATTCACAGAAGAAAGCAAATGAAAACAGAAACTAGAGGGCAGAGGGGGATGTGACCGTGGAGAGATGAATGTTGCTTCTGACAAGGAAGCAAGGGCTCATGCTCAGTCAAGGGATGTGATGGAGAAGCTGGAAAGACACGGAAAAGGATTCTGTCCCGGGGCCCTGAGAGAGGACCGAAGCCCTGCTGCGTCCTGGCTTTCTCCCCGAGACCCGCGTAGGACTTCGGACTAGCAGAGCTTTGAGAAAGTGGATTTGTGTTGTTTTAGGTCATTAAGTTTGTAATAATTTGTGACAGTATAACCAGGAAACGAATACAGCATTCAGCACTGATTCTTCTCATCTGCAGATGACAGGAGCACATTTCTGTCTAACGTAGAAAAAAGCAATTCTTATCCCTTATCAAGTTTAGAAAAGTGTTCGAGGTAAAAACCAGAATCACGGACTCACGTGCCTTAGGCTCTTTCTTCATCTCTGGTTTTACTGTTTCTCTGCACCAGCTTCCTTCTCTTTCCGCACAGAACTTGACAGGGCACTCCACATCTCAACCCCTGAACCACGGTCTTGGGTTGGCCAGATTTTATTACACGGCTGTGCATCCTGGAACAGACAACAAGAGCAAAGGGGCTGGGAAACCACACAGGTGAACTAGAGGCAGCTACTATAATACGCCGCCTGGAAGATGGCTCAGGTGTCTGTTCTCCACCCAATCTGTTTCGGCCTTAACTGAGCAGTGATGGTGTCTCCTAGTTTATGGCCTCCTTCTGCCAGTTTAAAGATAGACATGACTAGAAAACACAATTAATTTAAAATAACATTGATCAGGTTATTTAAAAGCATTCGGATCAACAAAACTATCACAAGCCAAGCTCATCTGTTGTACTGGTTTTTGTTACTGCCTGAGCAGATTACCACACACTCAGTGGCCTGAGCAAGGGACCTTTTTCTCGTGATTCCATAGGTCAGCGGCTTGTCTGCCCCAGACTTCTCAGGCCAAAGCCAGGGTGTCAACAGGGCTGCCTCCTCTGGGGGATTTGAGAGGGAATCCTTTCCCAAACCGTTTGCAGAGACGTTCGGGTTCCTGGCAGCACGGAGCTCCGTTGGGTGGTAGGAGTGACGTCCCTGTTTCCTCGTTACCTGTCAGCTGGGGTCTCTGGTGGCCTCTTTCTTCCATTTTTAAAAGCCAGCCATGGCAGTCCAGTCCATCTTACGGTTTTGCAAGGAAAGGACACTTTACTTCCATCCACCACCTTAGGTTTCCAGCTGAGACTCTTTAACAAAAAGATTAACATGAGAAAAACAGTTTATTGATACATTAATACATTAGCACATAAATGCATTAATACGTGGACATGTATACGCTGTGACCGGGTATTCTACTCCTAGTTAGAAACCCTAGAGAAACCATATATTCAAGAGACATGTAAAATAATGTGCTTATGGCAATACTGCTCACCACAGCAAGAAAAAAAAATGTGGAAAAAAAAACCCTAGGAAAAATGCTGAATTATTCAAATGAATAAATTATGCTGTATTCGTACAAAGGAATCAGGGTTATCACCTTACTCAGCTCTGGTGCACTGTTCACATTGTCAGCACCTTTAGTACAGAACACAACGTACAAGGATGTACAAATTGGTATGGAACACCATATATTGGGGAAAATGAATTAATCACAGCTCTCAGCACAAAATGTAATGCAGGGCAAGAATAACAAGTGTCAATTGCGTAAAGTTTGCCTAAAGTTAAATAGTAAGTAGACTGGTCCTTATATACGTAGTGAAGCTATGGAGAAAAGGCAAAGGAATTGTTAACACAAAAATACAGAAAAATACACAAAAATAGTATTAAATCCAGGACAGGGAAAGAACGCA